CCCACAAAAATCAGTCGCCTTCCTGTACACTGACAATGTACAAGAAGAGAGGAAAATAAAGGGAGCAACCCCATTCACAATAACCTCCCAAAAAATAAAATATTTAGGAATTAACCTAACCAAAGATGTAAAAGACCTATTTAATGAAAACTATAAAAAGTTAAAGAAAGAAATTACAGAAGACACTAGGAAACGGAATGACTTCCCATGCTCTTGGATAGGCAGACTTAATATAGTGAAAATGGCAATACTGCCAAAATTAACATACAAATTCAATGCAATTCTTATTAAAATCCCAATGACAAAAATCTCTGAAATACAGAAAACAGTCCAAAAATTCATATGGAACAACAAAAGACCTAGAATAGCCAAAAGAATTCTAGGGAATAAAGACAACATTGGAGGGATATTCATGCCGAACTTCAAACTCTACTATAGAGTCATAATAACAAAGCCAGCATGGTACTGGCACAAAAACAGACCCGAAGACCAATGGACCAGATTAGAAGATCCAGAAATAAATCCACATGCCTACAGTCAGATGATATTTGACAAAGGAGCCAAAGACATACAATGGAAGAAACACAGCCTCTTCAACCACTGGTGCTGGGAAAACTGGGCAGCCACATGCAGAAAACTAAAAGTGGACCCCAGCCTATCACCATGCACCAACATCAAAATGGATTAAAGACCTTAACATTAAACCTGAATCTCTGAAACTACTGCAGGACAGAGTAGGAGAAACACTTGAACTTATAGGCACAGGCAAGAACTTCCTGAACAGAGTCCCAGGGTCACAACAAATTGGAGAGAGACTCGACAAATGGGCCTACCTTAAAATAAAAAAAATTTCTATACAGCTAAAGCTATCACAACCAATCTAGAAAGACAACCAACTAATTGGGAAAAAATATTTACCAGCAATATATCAGACAAGGGGTTAATATCCAGTATATACAGGAAACTCAAGAAACTAATCCCTCCAAAACCTAACAAACCAATTACTAAATGGGCAAGGGAACTAAAGAGGGACTTCTCAGAAGAAGAGATAAAAATGGCAAAGAAACACATGAGGAAATGTTCACCATCCCTGGTTGTTAAGAAAATGCAAATAAAGACAACCTTGAGATACCACCTTATCCCTGTCAGAATGTCCCACATCCTCAAGTCAGCCAAGGAGGGGATGTGGAGAAAGAGGAACCCTATTACACTGCTGGTGGGAATGTACACTTATATAACCACTTTGGAAAGCAGTCTGGAGGGTTCTCAGAAAGCTAAATATTGACCTCCCTTATGACCCAGTCATACCACTTCTAGGCATCTATCCTGAACAACAGGAACCAGAATACAATGACACATGCACCTCCATGTTTATTGCAGCACTGTTCACAATAGCCAGGATATGAAAACAACCCAGATGTCCCACCACAGATGAATGGATCCAAAAATTGTGGTATCTATACACAATGGAATATTATGCAGCCATTAGAAATGACAAAATAATGGCATTTGCAGGGAAATGGATGGAGCTAGAAGAAATCATGTTGAGTGAGGTAAGCCCAAGAGCAAAGAGACAAACGTTACATGGTCTCCCTGATAAGTGGATGTTAAATCCAAAATGTTAGGTGATACAACAAAATCAACAGGACTTAAGAAACAAAGGACTTCCACTCATCTGGTCGAATCACTACTAAATAACCCCATGCTGCTGATCACATGTATGGTATATGTGTATACACCGGAGGGGAACCAGGAAGATGACACAGAACTAGAGGGAATCAGGAAAAAACATATAACAGCGGGACCCATCAGCTGCACTGGACATTGACCAAAATGAACTAAGCAAATTAATGGCAGTGATGGGAGGGAGGGAACAAGTGGGAAAGAGGGAACAGCTGAAGCTATGCAAAACAAAAGAAATGTACATATCACCCAATGTGGAAGAAATAACTGTATAGCAAAGCTTATAGAACTCATAAATGTTATAGACCGTGATAGATAATTTCTTCCAGGAAAGTTAGAATGTGTTTGTGACTTTAACTGAGCATCACTATCCCACAATACTGTGAAATTTGGGAAATTATGTAACCACTTAATAACAATAAAAATGAAGGATTGCACCTTCTTGTTATTCTACTTCTGAAAGTGCTTTGAGGCCACTTCAGACTGAGGATCGTTTCCTCTAGAGCAGTAACTCCTACAGTGCCACTTCAGACTGAGGATCGTTTCCTCTAGAGCAGTAACTCCTACAGTGTGAACAGAACAAGATGCTGGAGACCTGGAAACATATCTCCACAATTTGTGTTCTTTCCAGAACAAGAGGTCTTCTCTTTGTCTTTTTAGAGGCCTAGACTATCCAAATTGAAGTTGATGACCCCATTTCCAGGAGCAAAAGGCTGATCCGAAGGGGCCAGCCTAGACAGAAAGAACTAAAATTGGAGAGATATGAATAAGTCCAATGCTTCCTGGAAGCTGAGATAGAGTATCCATCCCAACTCCTGACACAAAATTGAGAAAATGCATTCTATGTTCTACTCTACACGCGCGTGCGAGTGTGTGTGTGTGTGTGTGTGTGTGTGCGCACGCGTGCGCACGCACAAGTACTGTTCCTGAGGCTTTAACTCAGGGGTTCTATGCACTCTTCCTGAGTGGTTTTTGTTTTGGGGTGGTGTTGTTTTGCTCAAGGCATAATGCTATACCACTTGAACCACAGCTCTACTTTCAGCTTTTTTGTGTGTGATTAGAGGTAAGAGTCACAAGGATTTTCCTGCCTCCACTGGCCCTGAGTTCTGATCCATAGATCTCAGCTACCTGAATACCTAGGATTACTGGCCCCAACAGCCAGAACTCAGCTACAAGTCTCTTGGTTTTCAAGAGCAGGAATTTCTGTTCCTCACTTGTCAAGAACTGGCTAGGTCTTAACATTTCCTTAACATTTACTCATTCACTGGCTGGACTTATGTTCCCATTATGAGTCAGTGCTGGACTCTCTCCATCCCAGGGAGCAGAGAAGGGTGGAAACTGATGAAGTATGGTTTACTGGTGGTGGTATCTTTGGTTTCTTCTTTTTTTGAGCTTTGAAGGAGCTTCTACCTGGTTCTGAAAAGGGTCATCTTAGCATTTGGGAAAAAGCCTTCTCACTTACACCCCTGTTAAGTTTCAATCTAGGCACACAAAGATATTCAGCCAATTATCCCATTTTAAACAAAAGCCAGGTTCCAGTAGCTCATGACTATAAGCCTAACAACTCAGGAGGTTGAGATCTGAGGATTGCGGTTTGAATCTAGCCAAGACAGAAAAGTCTGTGAGATTCCAGTTAGACATAAAAAGCCAGAAGTGGAGCTATGGCCCAACAGGTAGAATGCTGCCCCCTGAGCACAAAAGCTCAGGGACAACACTCAAGCCCAGAGTTCAAGCCCTAGGACTAAAAACGAAACAAAAAACCAACAGAAGAAGACAGGCATATTCTCAAAGGACTTTTCATTCATAGAGAAAACAGTATAGACAGGTATGGAAATCTTGCTGAGAACATGCTGAATGTCAGCAGTTCTGACTCACTGGGTGTAGCTGCTTAGCTATAAAGCAATGCTGTGGGGTAGTGGACTTTTCTCTGCATATGTGAGTCCTGGACCTATGTGGGACTTCTCTCTAGAAGCTCACATGAGTACAGGAACAGAGCCTAGGACTACAGCAGTATGTGTTGACTAAAACCCTGGCTGAGGCTGAGAGCAAAGAGAGGAGGACACTTGCCCTCAAGGCAGGGCACTTGCTCCTGCATGAAAATCATGTGTAGTGGGAGTAGTGGGGTGCAGGAAATTTGAGGGTTAAATACAAGAATAACGTGTGCATCTCATTGTTGCAATGGGTCTGTTATGTTGAAAAACGAACTTTACAACTTTGGCGCAAGGGGGAGGGGGATGGGAAGGGATGGGAAGGGGAAACAAAGGAGGAGGCAACAATGCTGGATGAGAAATGTACTCATTACCTTGCTCATGTAATTGTGACCCCTCTGTACAGTATTTTCACAATTTAAAATAAAAAAGAATAACATGTAGTAGACAACTGGTTGTTGAACATGAGCTGGGTGATTACAGAACACATCTTCTCAATTTTGTATTAGGACAGATACTCACAAGAGACTGCAATTCCATGTCCTGTATGAATGATTGATGTGGCTTTTTCACTAAACCTCTGATACTTCTGTTTTGTCCTGACAAGGCCTCAGAAATATTCCCTTAGCACATTGTAAACCAATTCTCTCTTGTTAGAGAGAATTCCATAACTGCTATGAAATGGGTGTAGTCTAAGACAGCCTATAGTTTATATAGAATTAGAAGTGGGCCACAGTAATGAACGATAGAAAAAATGGAAACATTTTTTTACAGATGAAAATACATTATTTGTCAAATGATGTATATGTGTTAGAGTGGGAGTGTGTTCCAGGACACACACACACACACAGAATGCTTAAAGCTATAATTACAGGTATTTGTCTATTATTTTCATTATTTTGTAATTTGAGTCATTCCCTCTGAGTAAAGACAGTAAAGGCTGATTTATACACAAAACTTTACAATTTGACAGTAGCAAGGAACAAAAAAAAAGACTTTCAGGTTTGTATATATTAGTGAAAGGGAAAAGCAGTGTGTAGATATGTCAAGATAGGAACAGAAATTGCAGGTAATATACCAGACTATAAAAGCAGAAGCAGATGAACAAATGGGAAAGCTCCCCTGGGTAAACACATATATGAAGAAAGGTAGAGTTGGAGAATGGAGCAGCAGAGTTAGGTAGAGAGCTCTGCTGTCTGACTGGTCAGGACAGGGGTGTGGACACAGCCCCTCCTGGCTGCCCCTGCCCCACCCTCAGAAATCTTCTATGACCCGTCCATGCTCTGTGATGCAGGCCTGGGATTGTACCTGAGGCCATGCTCCGGCAGGACTCACTTGCCTCTGGCACTCATGTGATTCAGATCATGGGGAATATTCTCTCTTTTCTGAATGGAGCCATGGCTGTGCTTTGGCTCATCTCTCTTAGATACTGATACTAAGTACACCCTTCTAGGTGCCTTACTATTTCTACTTCTATACTTGTGCTACCATTTGCTGAAACCATCAGTACCAACAATTCATCGTAAGAAACACATCCTAAAGGTATGGGAGTATAGGAGAAACCCCACAATTCTCTACTGGTGTTTCCCAGAGGGCATCTCATTAGAGAAAGAGTTCTGTTTACTGAGTATGATGTACTCACAGGGGAAGAGGAATTGAAGCGAGGGTTGGGGGTTGGGAATGTGCCCTCTGAGACTTTGGTATCCAAAAGAGAAGTTGGCTCTGATGGCTGAGAGCCATCAGTGGTGTCTATCCTCCTGTTAAGTAACAAGTCTGATTGCCTCACAAAGACATCTGACATTGAGAATCAAAGCACATGAAGCAATATCACTGTTGTAGGGCACGAGGCCTGACAGGGGAGGGAGTTCATAAAAGACTAAGGTTTCCATCTGAAGCCCACAGTTTATCTATGCTGGAAGCAGGAACAAATAGTGACTTTGTATCCAGACTGCTTTAGATACACATATGGGTACACTCAAGAACAATCTTTGCTGACACCTGCTCTGAGTCCCATCTCCATGCCCACTGTCCCATCGTGAATCTTGCTTTCAACTGGGATGTTCAGGAGAGCAATACTGACCTCTGTGGTCCGCTAAACAGAGCCTGGACCTCAGGCCCACAGGACACAGTGTCCTCTGAGGGAGCATACTTTAGACTATTACCTGTAGAGTTCTTGCACTCAAGAGAAAATATCCTGCTTTAAAGTTTCCCAGAAAAAAAAATTGAAAAAAAACCTTATCACCTTAAAAAGTTAATCAAGGCAAAGAACAAATTTCTGTTAATGAAATGAACAGTCATATTACTCCTGGTTAGTAGATATCTGAATTTCCTATGCAGATGAATATGAGTTCTGGTCCTTTAATTTCATTTTTTCTTCTCAGAGACCAACAATATTGTACAGAAAAAGAAGAGGAGAATTGAGAGGTATGTTTCTTCTTGCTTGATGTAAGCTTGCCAGAACTGAATTCCCCTTTTCTTTTCTGGAGATAACAGACCCACAAGAACAACAGTTACTGGGCACAGACTGTACCAGAAAATGAGGCTCAGAGGAGAGGCTCACAGACAGACAGGACTGAGCTGCCTCTCAGAGTCCCAGCTCTGCCAACATGAAGGATCTGGGTGGGTGCTGGGGTGGGTGCTGCTGGCCAGGTAAGATGTGGAGAAAGGACTAGAGGATGCTTTGAGTCACAAAACCTGTGTCCTGACATTGTGCAAAGTGCCTTCTCAGTCTTCATGTCTGAGGGGTCCAGTCACTTCTGTGCTTCACATAGTAGTTTGATATTGTATTGTATTGTACAGGTTGACATGCAGATGCTGTGAAAATGAAGCCACATAAACAAGTGAATAATCTTAACATTACTGTTGCACTTTTGACTCGTCTATTAATTCTTGGAGCTTTAGACCTTTATTTAAAGAGGTGCTAACTGTAACATCTCTGTGTTCTGACTTTCATCGTGCATAAACCACATCTTGATTTTACAGGACGGAGACCTCTGAGAAAAGAAGCTGAGGAGGAGCAGAAGCTGCTTTCTGTGGTGTCAAGGTGACTGGTCACTTTTTTTTCCTGTTCCCTTCTTTAGCATGTTCTTTTTCTTTTTTTTGGTCCGGTCGTGGGGCCTGAACTCTGGGCCTGGGCGCTGTCCCTCAGCTCTTCAGCTCAAGGCTAGCGCTCTACCACTTGAGCCACAGTGCCACTTCCGGCTTTTTTCTTTTTGCTTATGTGGTGCTGAGGAATCGAACCCAGGGCCTCAGGCATGCAAGGCAAGTGCTCTACCACTGAGCCACCTTCCCAGCCCCTTCTTTAGCATGTTCTATGCATACCTGGGATTCAGTCTATCCAGCCTGAGTCATGAGAAGGATAAAGTAATGGCTATGATTATGAGGACAGGCTAGGGAGTAGAGGTAAAAGATTATGAAGAGGGTAGCTAGATTCAAGAGTCCCTTCTTTGCACCCCTCCCCCTGCCCCATCCCACCCCTGTATTCACTGGGCTGGTCCTACTTACAACGTTGCACATTCTGTTATCTGTAGCCTCCTGGACAAGCATCCCAACACTACTCGCTTTCGGAAACTGCTGTGTCTAGACCCCCTCTGTCAGGTGTGTAGCAGGACAGCGGCGGAGGCCAGTCACCTGCTATCTCAAGCATCTGTGAAAGTCGCTGCCACTTCAGGGTCTCCATTAGTTTCCAAAACTCCTGTGAAAAAGTCATCTGCGTTACCGAACACTCCTCTCTCAGAAAACCTAGCAGAAAATGCAATTCCAGCTATAACATCTGAGCTTTCTCCAACTCTATCCTCCACAGGCTCTCCAGACCATGCTCTGCCACTAGAGACTATGTCTCCTTTGGAAACTAAGTTTGTAGCAGCTCCATTACCATTGCAACAACTCGCCTCAAATCCTCCTCCCCTAGAACATCAGACTTGGGGAATAGGACCCGTTCTCCAACATGATTCCACTTGTGGAATGACTGGCAGGCCTTCTGGCTTGTCCACTCATGACCCACTAACCAGAGAATTGTCCTGCAGGGAGCTAGATGTGATGAGCCCGCTCCCTTGTGAGTTAGTAGAGTGTGAGGCCAAGTGGGAATCCCTTGCCCTCCATTCTTCCGAGGCCTCTTCTGAAGGTGTTGCTGCATCCTACCACATCGAGCCCGGTAACCTCTCATTTATCAGACTCGACGTTCTAGCATTCTTGGAGACCCAAATCAAGAAGAGAGGTGGCTTCTTGATGTGGAAAGAAAGGGAAAGCAAAACTGATTCTTGTACCCAACAAGATAAGCTAGGGTGCCAACTGAATTCTGTAGGGAAAGTGTTAGAGTCTGTTGATGAGCAGCAGGAATTGGCAGCTTCCCTTCCATTTGGGAGCTCCAACGGCAAGCAAGGGGAGCTTCCCAAGTACATTCAGGCCCCAAGTCCAAATCCCTATAAGGACCATTCTCAGCAAAAGTCTATCCAACTCTTTTGGGGTCTCCCATCTCTACACAGTGAGTCCTTGAGCTCTACTGTCCCTGGCTTAGGTGACTATTCTTTGAAATTTGTCTTCTTCAATATAATCTCCAACATCTTCAGAGCCCACAAATCCCCAGTGATCCCTGACCCTAAACTTCTGCCATTGCCTGAAATCCAGTCTCAAGTCTTGCCTGAGACCTTGCACCAAGATCTTCTAGGAGCCCAGGCACAGGCCCAGCTTCAATCTCTATTCCCCGGCCTGCCATCTTCCCCTGAACCCCAGGTTAGCGCCTGTGGGGTCTGTTTTCATGGACTACAGAGTGAGGTACAGCTCCTTACACCATCTGAAATTCATCACCTGGAATATAATATATTGCAGAAAAAGCAAGAGAATGTGTGGGGGTTACCCTCTGTGGTCCAGAGATCTCAGGAAGACTTTTGTTTTCCAGCTCCAAAACTTCCATTGGTCAGACAGTATTCTAAAGCTAAAGTTATGGTCTCCATCCTTCCTGGTGATTTCCCCCTCACCAGTGGCCTGCAGCAAAAACTAGAGCATCACCTTCGAAAGAGGCTTATCCAGCAGCACTGGGGCCTGCCCCGCAGGATCCAGGAGTCTCTGTCTCTGATGAGTCCTAGGATAGAAACTCCCCAGAGCTCTGAGTCTAAGATCAGTGAGGGGCTCTCATGGATTTCCTCCTTCAAACATCAGAAGAGCAAACATCCAAACTTTGAATCGAGCCAACTTGAAAGCTCTGAGAAGAGCATAGAGATATCTCTGCTAGATGAGGAAGTAGGGAAGGAACAGAGACACAGCCCAGAGACTGGACCCAAAGACCATCTGTCCACTGCCTCAGCAGGGGCTCCACATCATAGTTCACAGTCTCAATCTGAGTCAAATTCAGAAAGTGTCACCGGGAGTGTGTCAGGGAGTGATTTGAGTACTTCACTGGTAATTCTGCATCAGAAACAATTCAAGGATGCTCTGGAAGTACACTGGAACAAGAAATTCACAGAAATCAAAGAGTGTCAGGTCCCTGGCACTGTGAATGGTTTATGTCATTCTAACAGCATGCACTTGCCCTTGTGTGAAAAATCCCCTAGCCAAAAGAAACAGAGAGATTTGGCACCATTGGTAGGGAAGGAGAGCAGTCTGGACACACCCCATGATATTTCTTTCCCTGATTCCAGCAAGCCAAATATTGTGGCTGACAGAATTAAATTTTTTCAAATGAAGACAATGCAATGTCTTCCCCAGAAGACCCAGGAATCCATAGAAACCACTTATGCAAAAGAAGGTCCATCTTGGGTCTGTTCCAACTCTAAACTTTCCTCCCCATCCACCTCTATTTCTGGGGTAGATTCTAAACTTGGGGTATCTCAGTCTTTTGCACAAAATTCTGTTGCTAATAGCCAAAAGAAGATGGGAACAACAAATTCAGCCTCACCTGTGAGCAAGAAAGGACAGGGGTTTCAGAGACAATTACTCTCTGATACCAACAATGAATACATTGAGAACCTACATAGAATGAAGGATGGCAGATGGCCATTTCTGCACCCAACCCATGGTGTCCCAGGACACCATGACCATGTGACACAGTCCACAGCAGACAATATGTGCAGTCCAAATGTGTTCCCAAGGACAGCAATGGCTGCACCTGATGCAGACAATAAGAAACAAATTTTTAAACAAAGCATACAAAGGACTGATGAAAAGAGGATACATTCAGAAAAAAATTCCCTATATAATAACTCTAAGGAGACCTTCAAGACCAAGGAATTCTGTGATCTTCCATCCCAAGCTGGAACAAACATCACCAACGAGAGCAAAGCCTCCCTAGTGACAACTATCAATCAAAGTAAAGCACAAGGTATCCTGACCACTAAAAAGACCCCAATGGATACATTGGTTCACCAAGGTCCTGAGTTATCAGACTTAAAAAATGGACTTTTCAATGAGTTGAAACTGAAACTGGAGAGCAGAAAGACAGGGAAGGCCCAGGGTCTTCAGGATGACCTGCCTCTGGAGTCAGATAACTCGAAAAACGTGACTTTACTTACTTTAAACTCTAGTGTCACCAGTGTGGACATAGCAGCTTCCCATGAGCTGCATGCACAACTGGACAAGACAATGATCAGCGGGGAGCAGGGACAGAAACCTTGCACCACTAGTGACCTCCACAAGGGCCAAGACAAAAATTCTCCACAAAGTAACAATGGCATGAGCCCTCCAACACTAAAATCAGGCAAGTTTGGTGGAGGAGATACAAGGCTGGGGACATCACAACTCAGAAAGAGGAGTCGCCACCCTCAAAATAAAACATCAAAGGAGATGTCTGGGAGGACATCCCATGTTCTGTTACAGAAGGGTCAGTCTCCTCCTGAAAATCACTTCAGAAACCACATGAAACAGTTTTTTCAGTGGTTTAGTACAGGTAAAAATGGCAAAAGACAAGAAAGCTCTCTGGGAAAGGGCAATTCTCCATCATCATCTGCTCAGGCCAGAAGCCTAGGTAAAGGGAAAGCTACTTTTTCTGGGAACACTGAAAATCAGAAAGTCACCAGAGACACTGGGAAAGTCCCAGTGGCGAAACAAGGGCAGGGGCATGGAGTAGGTGTCACATGTCCCCAGGAACCCCTTCTATCTCCTATGAAGTCTGGGAAAACTCAGCTGAAGGCAGAACTGGAGACCCAGACAAATTGTAGGCAGGGCAAGCACCCCAACAAAGCTTCCTGCTCTAAAGTGACATGTGTCAAGTCTCACACACAAGAAGCTGCTAGTCCTAGACAGAGTTACCTTGAGAAGGACAGGCAGGGCACAGGCTGGCACAAAGAGCCAACAAAGAGTGTGCTAACTCCTGAGCGAAGGCATCTCACAGCCATGGAGTACAGGGAACCAGGGCTCCACAGCAGACCCACCTGCAGACAGCAAGTGCCTCAAGTGCCTCTGGCTACCCCTACCATTCCTAACGGCAGTGTGTTGGGAGTGGTTCCCTATTGAAAGGGACACTTTTCCTCCATCATTCCCAGAGACAAGAGTTTCCTCCCTCAAAATAATTCATAACTTTCCCCCAATAAACCTCCAATACACATTGCCTTGTTCTCATCTCCAATAAATGCCCTTACAGCAATTTCGTCTTTTGCATAGTTTTGTTGGTATGGGTTTAGGGTTATCTATGGCTAGTGTTTAGGAAAAAAGAAAATGAGGTTGGCTCTTCCTGACTGCCCCTATTGTCTCTATAAGGAATAGATGGCCCTACTCTTGAATCCCCTTTCTTTACCAGTAAAGGTAGAGAAGGTGGATCCTAGCTTAGCATATTGCCAACTGCATGGCATGCTATGCTGCAATTCTTCCCTCTATTAATTGTTCCTGTCCTAGAAGTGGTAGAGAAATCTCTCTCTGTACCGAGGACCAAAGGTTGGTAAGTTTTTCAGAACCCACTGGTTTACTCATTAACACAAGTGGTCAGTAATAGGCAATGACCCCACCAGGGAGAGTTTGATAGCGTTGCTCCAGGTGGTAGGTAGAGTCTAAAAGAGGGGGTGGTACTCCTAAGGGATCATTTGTTTCAGGAGCACTCTTTGATCTTGCCACAGATATCTCCCTCCTGCTAGCAACCCAAGAGATGTGCTTTTTCCCCTGGATATTTCTTCACTGTGCTTGGACCGAATAACATTGTTTAGAAAATGAAAATACAGGCTGTTCAGTGTCAGAATGCCACACAGGGTAAGATAAAGGTGATTGTGTGAAAGATGTCTTAGATGGACAAAGAAAATCATGAAGAGAGGAAAAACAACTATTGTAACAAAAATTTATATACCATCGGCACATTCTTCTCAGATCAGTATGATCCTCCAGCCTTTCTTCAAGGTTGATGAGGGTGCTAGAGGGCTTAGTGATCTCATAGTGGCTGAACTGTACTATATATGAGGCTCTCTGAGCACTGAACAACTACAGAGAAGTCATCAGGCATGAAATTCCTGTCTTTAGGGAAAGTCTTCCATCTATACTTGAGGACAACACATATGATCTACCGTTAGTGTGCATAAGTTCACCTATCAGGATGAAGTTGCTATCCTTAATCGAAGCTTTGTAGAGCTAGAGTAGATCACTTTCAGGCCATCTGCATGATCCAAAAATGAGTCCTCATATGCACATGTCACTAGGGTTACAGATTTTATGGACTTGTACAGAATGCTTTCACTGTTCAAATCTGTGCACATACACAATGCTAAAAGAAGTTGGCTACATAGAATGTAACCTCTTATACCTCTATTCCTATAGACTGAAAACTAGGAGTTTCTTACAGTGTACTTTTACTTTTTCCAGAAAAAAAACATCGTGCCTTCTCAGCATCAAAATAAATCTGAGCATGGAGCTGGGAATGTGGCTTAGTGGTAGAGTGCTTGCCTAGTATATATGAAGCCCTGGGTTCCATTCCTCAACACCACATAAACAGAAAATTCCAGAAGTGGCACTGTGGCTCAAATAGACAGTGCTCAGGTCTTGAGTTCAAGCCCCAGGACTGGAAAAAATAAATCTGGCCAGGCACCGTTGGCTCACACCTGTAATCCTAGCTACTCAGAAAGCTGAGATCTGAGGATCACAGTTCAAAGCCAGCCGGGGCAGGAAAGGCTGTCAAACTCTCATCTCTAATAAACCACCAGAAAACCGGAAGTGGCACTATGGCTCAAGTGGTAGAGAGCTAGCTAGCCTTGAGCTGAAGAGGTGATGGACAGCACTCAGGCCTAGAGTTCAAGCTTCATGTCTGAACAGAAAACAGCTATGATGACCCTAATTACATGTTTCCATCTCTTTGTACAAGGTTATGACTTAGAGACTACGGTGTTTCCCTCGTAGGGATGCAGAAAGAATGCAGACTGTGGGGAGCTGCTGGGGAAGAACAAACTGTAGAAATTCAGTGTACTATCTTGATCATGTATGGACATATCATGAACTTTTTCATCTCTTCATACTATGTTAGGATCCTTTACCACCATTCCTGTTTACTTGTTGCCATTTTCTATTACTTATCAGTAGAAATTATTGGCCAAATGACATAAAGCAAATTTACATTTGCTCTATCTTTCCAGCACATGCCCAAATTGTCAGTTTTTCATGTTTGACATTGATCAAATTGTCATTTTTTAACCTTATGTCATTTGGCATTTTTCCCCTCCCTAGTCTATCCACTAACCTATGTCTTTCACCTTCAAAGTAGAATGCAGAATCTATCATTTAAAAACTTAAAAATCATTTAAATACTTAAAAATCTCCAATCAGGCATGTTGATGCATAACTATAACCCCAGCTTATCAGGAGACAGAGATTAGAAATACAGAAGTTTGATGACAGCCCAGAAAAAAGTGATACTCCATCCTAAACAAGTTAAGCCTGGTAGTCCATGCTTGTAACCCCAGTGACATGGAAGGTATAGGTAGAAATACTATACAAGACAAAGCTAAACCTAAGCAAAATTGAAAAAGCCTATCTGAAAAATCAAAAAAGTGAAAAAAAAGCTGGAGACATGATAGATCAAATACCAAGCAAGTGTGAGGCTTGAGTGTTTTATATGAAGAAATAAACATTAAAAACACTAAAGGTCTAACAACTAAACACTGACCATTGTAGGGGAGAGCAGTTTAAAGCCAAGGTTTTTTGTTTTGTTTGCTTTTTGTTTGTTTGCTGTTGGTTGCTGGGCTTTTGTTGGTTGTTGGAGCCAAAGTTTTCATATCCAGATAAAAAAGCATACCTATTCATAAACAGATGAAAAACCATATCTAGATCTGCATTTTGGAAAGATGATTGATTGGCCAAGAGAAGCTGATGAGCATTCATGGGGGTAGCATACAAATAAACCACAGCACCACACATTTGATCCACTTCTTTAGAAAATTAGCTCAATTCTGTGTTTATAGGCTTAGGTTTTTCCACAAAACCAGGAAATGAAGCTTCTTACTCATGGTCTCTAGGTTTTCTTTTCCTCATGTTCTCTCATTTTCTCATCAGGTCTCTCTTGGTCTGAGACAGAAGCCGGGTGGGAGTGGGGAGACATGCCCCCCATAGAATTCCTAACAATCACATGCCTAAGACCAGGGAAGTCATATGAACATCCCTGAAACCTAATCCATAATCCAGAGCTTGCCCACATCCATCTAGAACAAGGTAAATTCCTTCAGCGTCTACAAGCGTGCAACATTCTTAAGAATATCAAAATCAGGGGCTGGGAAGTTGGCTCAGTGGTAGAATGCTTGCCTCACATGCATGAGGTCCTGGGTTCGATTCCTCAGCACCACATAAGCAGAAAAAAGCTGGAAGTGGCGCTGTGGCTCAAGTGGTAGGGCACTAGCCTTGAGCTGAAGAGCTGAGGGACAGCACCGAGGCCCAGAGTTCAGCCCCCACAACCGACCACAAAAAAAAAAAGCATATCAAAATCAAATGATATTCACAGTCATTTATTTCAAACAGCCTATTTTCATATAGACTATATGCATTCTCTTATGTGCTTTAAATGATCTGTAGGTCACTTATACCTAATATTATGTAAACATTAAATTAAATGCCTTATATAGTATTATTTAAGGTGTCATGCAAGAAAAAGGTTTACACATGTCAGCACAGTTGCAAGTATCTTTTCTGAATAATTTTGAACTACATTCTTTGAACCCAGAGATATGGAAGCTACTAAGACAAAAGAAAAATTGTATGAAAACGAAAGTAATTTGAAGGGATAATTCAGTCTAATAATAAATTTAAGTTAGGGCTGGGGGAGTAGTTCAATGATAGGCCACTAGCTAGCATATATGAGGCCCTGGGTTTGAGATGAACATAAGAAAGAAAAAGGCAAGGGGAAAGGAAAAGGCAGAGGCAGTGCCAAGAACAAAGGCAAACTAAGGAAATCCAAGGCATAGACAAGGTAAGGACAGAAAGGCTAGGACTAGGAAAGGGAAAAGGAAAAGAAGGGAAGGGAAGGGAAAAAGGAAGGGAGGGGGAGGGGCAGGGGGAAAGGGAAGGGAGAGAGGAAGGGGAATGGGAAAGAGGAAGGAGAAGGGGAAGGAGAAGGGAAAGGGAAAGGGAAAGGAAAAAGGGTAGGGGAAAGGGGCAGGGAAAGGGAAAGGGGATCTCATCAGATTCATCAGATGAAAGCCTCTGATCTAATACAAAGATCCACCCTGCAGCCATGCTCTAACCAATAATGACACATGTAAATGCAATTGAACACTAGGGTGCCCTTTACTTGGCTGAGCATTATATCTGGCTGTGTCTGGCTAGATGATGCCAAATGAGATGAGCATCAAAACCAATGGATGCAGTTGAGAAGATAGCCATTCCCTATGTGAATGAGGGCTGGGAAGGTGGCTCAGTGGTAGAGTGCTTGACTTGCATGCATGAGGCCCTAGGTTTGATTCCTCAGCACCACATAAGCAAAAAAAAGGAAAAAAAAAAACAATGTGAATGAATATCATCTAGTTCCTACACAACTGAATTTTTTTTTTTTTTTGTCGGTCGTGGGGCTCGAACTCTGGGCCTGGGTGCTGTCCCTCAGCTCTTCAGCTCAAGGCAAGCGCTCTACCACTTGAGCTACAGTGCCACTTTCGGTTTTCTGGTGGTTTATTGGAGATAGGAGTCTCACGGTCTCTCCTGCCCGGGCTGGCTTTGAACCGCGATCCTCAGATCTCAGCCTCCTGAGTAGCTAGGATTACAGGCGTGAGCCACCAGTGCCCGGCTCACAACTGAATTTTTTAAAGAAGACTGAAGAAAGGAGAAATTATTCCTTTTATTCTGCCTGTGTACTGGAGCTGTGACATCAGCCTACTTCTGCTCTCACATGGAAACTTGTACCAAGTACATCCAGCTTCTCAGACCAGCTTTCTTGAAACTTGGTTTCGCTAGGCTTTTCTGCCATCCTGCTACATAATTTATGGTTCCCAATCTTCTGATGCTCTTTAACAATTCAGAATAGTATCTCTTTTGTAACCTGACTCTTTTGAGTCAACAGG